AATCCACTCTCACTTTACTACCGTCTTTCAACACCTTTATATCCTCCGCCATCTTATAAACATTATCTCTATGGAAAGACCATTCGCGAAAACTGAAGTATACCAACACAGTAAGCAGCTGATTGAAATATCTGTTAATTTTCATCATTCTGAAATGACATTTTTAAATAGTATTGTCCCAACGTGCGATTACTTATTAGTTATTGTTTGATGACCAACATGGATGCTTACATTGGTTTCTTAGCCTGAAGTTTTAAAACAATATCGATAACAAATGCAGGAAAAGCATGCAAGAATATATTCAAAATACCGTAAACAAATCTGCTCTCTACAAGTTTGCAATACGGACACCATAATATATCGTTTCTACGCTGCATTCCGCGTAATTATTTGTCAGGTAACCCCAGCTTAAAAAATAAAACTTTTATGCTAGTAGGATTTTCTATTTTGTGAACATAAATCTTAATTTGCAGCGATAAAACTAGTATTCCAATCGTCGCTGTAAATTGACCTAGACTTACCGACAGGAGGACTTATCCGCCATCGATAAGTGCACATACACGTGCAGAGGCAATGATTATTGAAAATTATATATAGATGGACTATTAACATTGATCATTTCCTATTTGACTTCAAAACACCGTTTTTGCGTTATTAGAAAAAAAAGCTTGGAATTTCTTGGACTATTTAAATTCTCATAACTTGGCAATCTAACCTAAAGCTAACCTAAACCAAACTTGGACCTAAGAATAAAAAGCTTTATGATACATTCCTAACACCGAAATCATTGCCACATTTTTTGACATACTATTGAATAATAATAACATTCATTAATAATAACATTATCAATGTCTAATATTTCATGGTTTTTAGAATATTGGATTGTTGGAAGTGTTCCTTGATTTTGCACAGAAGTACTAAACAATTTATGTTTGTGTAAGTGAAACTACAACACAAATATTCCCGAAGTTGATATTGTTAATTGATAAACGTGTAGTGATCTCAATATACAAATACCGCTGCATATAAGAGTAATGACATAGTAATTCAAAAGCAAGTACAGTACAGTATGGGCACTCTTAAATCAACTTTAGTGACTGATGCTAATATCCTTTAGTCACTGATGCTAATCTTAAAACTGTCCTAGATACGTTTAGGCAATATAAGATAAAATTTTTTCAAAACATTCAATGAAAAACATTTTTAGGAAAGCATACAATACTTTTAGAAAAGAAGATTAAAGAAATCAGTTTTAAGAAAACAGTTCTAGTTATGATTCGCTGTAAGTAAAGCAGAAAAAATTCTAAATAATGAATAATAAATATGAAGTGACCAAAACGACATTAGTAAGGAATATTAACAAATTAATTCTTTTGGAAAAGAGCATAACATATACGTACATCTCTGCATAGTATTTTTTGCATATTATGCAGAAATGCATCAACTGCTTAAGAATTTACATACGTAGTCATTGTTATTGTGGCAGTTTTCGACTTAATAAATGTAAATTAACGATAGAAAAGAAACGATAATTATATTAGTGTATTTCACTTAAATGAGACGATACAAAACTATGTGACTTTGATTGTATAAAAAGTGATTGATGTTTGTTTCGTATTTTCTTAAACTTTGCTAAAGTTGTTC